CACTGGATGTCAATCTCAATGGCACATCGTATTGTCAATCTCAACTCCCTGGGGATCATATAACTCTTGCAGCCACTAGGCGCACCGAGTTATTGTGGCATTCCCATCCTTATGAGGTACCCATTCACAGCTGGGTGGACCAGGACACATAGTCACAGTACTTTGTCCAAGTTCACTGCACATTGCTGTACCCGCAAGTGGGTATTTGCACGTATTCATGTGGCCACCATCTGGTCATATACCAACGGATTCGTGGGTTCTTTGAAGTGCACAGGTACTGTACACTAGGGGTTGTGACGACACTGAAAGAGTCTGCACACAAACTTGACTCCAAGGTTTTTACACCCGGTCACAGGTGGGCTCGATCCCGTCAAATCAAGCTCGCTGGATCACTAGCCTGGCGCTTTAGCCAGTTCGCCCACCGCGCCCCCTGTTTATCAAGGCAGCTGGTGTGGAGGAAGAATGCACGGTCTGCCCATTCAGTATGCAGTCTGCTAAAGCTGGACAATGGGGTTCGTTCAAAGCGACGCTGTCTCACTCACTGGAATCAAGTGTGATGTGGAAACAAAGTTTCAAAATCTGCAGTATTCATAGCCCAAGTCTCTATGAGTGAGTGAGTGAGTGAGTTTAGTTTTACGCCGCTTTTAGCAATATTCCAGCAATATCACGGCGGGGGACACCAGAAATGGGCTTCACACATTGTGCCCATGTGGGGAATCGAACCCGGGTCTTCGGCGTGACGAGCGAACGCTGTAACCACTAGGCTACCCCACCGCCCTCAAGTCTCTATGAAACAAATGATATTATAATATGTGCTCAAATGTATCAGATTATTCTTTTCTGACAGGAATTTGGAATAGAGTCCGTTGATATTCCATGTAAGCAACTTTAAATATACTAAAAAATCGGAGTTGTACTTATCCGCTTTTGCTCCGTAGACCGGCCTCGGCCGCACCCCTAGGTCTCAAGGACACTGTTACTGAGAGAGTCCGGGTCCTCGGTGTTAGCTTGTCTGCTACGTGCAGACCTGTCCCCGGACCCAGAGGTCTGTGAGTCGGCTCTGCCGGGACGTTACCGTGTCCCTATCTTGACAATGGACATTTTTTACCCCAATTATAAGCATAGACATCGCCATTTAGTATCAGTTTGTTATAGGATATGTAACAGTCCTCGCCATTGTCCCTAAAGTTTTTTAACAAACGCTCCTAGCTTTCTGTGTGTCTCACTGACTGTGTATAGTCAGGTGACACTCTGTATGTTTTGTTACCACGTAACGTATCTTTGGCAACTTGATTTACACATTCCCTATGATAGGACGTGGCTTACTTACAGTTGAGCATTAGGTCCAGAACAATATCTTCTCGATTGCCCGATCATAGCTCTATTTTCACAGCAGAGGCTAACGCCATATTAACAGCCCTAAACATATTAATAAACACACTAAATATACCCAGCAGCAAAAAAAACGTCAGTACGAATTCAAAATTAGATAGGCAGTGTGTAATTAAATCATTACAGAAATGGTCCATAATGAGCGGATAAAAAAACATTTTTTGTGTACAATATCTTGACACATCAATGAATAACTCAGCACAATTCCAAAACATTACGTGAACGTTTGCAGCCCATTCAAACCCTTGACTTCAGTATCTAGTGTGCCCACCACGAGCGGCAATAACTGAAGCACAGCGTCTATGCATGGAGTGCACCAATCGATTGATGAAGGCCATTGGCACCTGGAACCACACTCTGAGAAAGGCCTGGCGCAATAAATAGGCTGTGTTCGGCCTTGGTATGACATTATTCAGTCTCCTCTGAGTTTCATCCCAATGATGTTCAGTTGGGTTTAAATCAGGACTAAGGGTTGGCCACTGCATAATGTTGACACCGTTCTGCTGTAGGAACTCCCGTGTAGCTCTGGCAGTATGGTCCCGGGTGTTATCATGCTGGAAAATGTTGTTCCGGTGACGTGCGAAATGTGGTATGACGTGGGGTCTAAGAGCTTGGTCGATGTAGTGCACCGCTGTGATGCCGCCTCCTCTCCCTGGACCAAGGTTCTGGAACACCACAGGACCAATTCTCTGGTTCAGGCCTATTCCTATGTGCTGGAAAGAGACTCATGGGGAGGTGCAAGCATCATGATGCTTGCACCTCCCCATGAGTCTCTTTCCATAACACATTGGTCTGAGTAACGCTGGTCTGAGTCGCCGCAATAGTCTTGTTCTGCCATCTGCAGTTGATACGCAGTACCGACTCGCATCTGTGAACAGAACAGTTCTCCATTGCCTGTATCGCCAGTTTTGGTGTTGTAGGGCAAACTGTTGACGTTCACGCCGATGACGAGGGGTGAGGATATGTCAACGGTAAGGTCTACGGCAATGGAGGTTCCCACTGTTAAGACGTCGGCGTACTGTATCAGTACTGACTGGTCTTCCGTGTGTTCCCACTGTCTGGCGTGCTGTTTCGGATGCCTGCATGAAGGGATTCTGTACATGCTGTAGCACAACATGGGGGTCTTGTCGTCTTGTGGTCACCCTTGGTCTGCCAGTACGGGAGTGATCATTTGTGGTGTTGGTGGCTCGGAAACGTTGCTACAGCCTGTAGATGGTCCGAACGTTTGCCTGGAAGTGATTGGCAACGGCTTGTGCAGTGAGGCCAGCTTCAAGTCTTTCTAGCGCCTGGGCCTAGATTTTCGAAGCTCTCTTAGGGCTAAGATAGCCGTAAGTTAATGTTAATGTATGGCACTTACGACTATCTTAACGCTAAGAGAGCTTCGAAAATATAAGCCCTGGTTCCTCTGAGCTGTCGTGAGTCGCGGCATCCTGCTGACGTTGTAATGTGAATGTTTCAACGAGGTTTGGGGTGCATTTTATAGGGCTGGTCCTTGTGAACAGCTTGTGCAGCATGAGTTGCATGAAAAACATGGAGAGCACCGTACCATCCCCGAGATCAGGTTGTGTTTTTGATACCATTTCCTGGGTTCCATTCTGAGTTTGGGAAAGAATGTCTTTGCTCAGGTAAAGTTGGAGATGTTGTCAAAATATACCATCAAAACATAGAATGAGTTTACAGTTATCCGTTTCTGCCAAGGAAAATTCCAAACTGACGTTTCTTTTGTTGCTTAGTATATAAACAATATAGTATAGTTTCAGACTCTCTTTCGTGCCTTCAGGCTATTAAAAATCTTTCTTGCAAACATCCACTTTTAATAGAAATTATTGAATTATATAATGACCTTGCCACTGGCCAATACGACATCGTCTTTTGTTGGTTACCCAGCCACGTTGGAATTTCTGGGAATACAATGGCCGATTTTGTTGCTAAGGCAGCACTCGACAAATCTGTGACACCACTTCTTATCCCATACTCTGATTACAAAGCGAGCATTAGAACCTACATCCGTGACCTGATGCAGAAGAAGTCGGACACCCAAGTAGGTATCAATAAATTACATGAAATAAAACCCTATATCGGTTACACTTACTTGGGTTGTCAGTCCAGATTTGAAGAGGTCATCATACGACGATGTCGTATCGGCCACACAAGATATACCCATGAATACTTATTGAAAGGTGAAGATCCTCCGTTTTGTATCTCTTGTAATGAGAGAACCACGGTCAAACATATCCAGCTTAACTGTCTTGAATTTTCCATCATAAGGGATAAATATTTCAATGTAAAAACTGTTAAGGCTCTTTTTACAAATGTTAATTTTCATTTAATCATTCAGTTTTTAAAAGAAATTGATATAATTAATCAATTTTGAATGATATGTTTTGTAGATAGATGTATTTTATAATTGGTATAGTTTAAATTAGCAACTGAGATTGTTAGTGGCTGTATCCTCAGAGGGGGTTAAGTACTGTAAAATTATTGTCCTCCTGAGAGGGTACGTAAGTCCCGAAACATTTAAGGTAAATTTATTCTTACCACCTTTTTAGTCGTAGAATATGTATGGCTAGATTTGACTGAATTGCTAATGGCTGAAGGGATGGTGTAAATCCAGCTAGGGTCCATGCAGGAAGCAAATGCACTGTAAGTCCCCATGGTCCCTAGTATGGTGATCTACCTTCGGTTGTTGGCAATATATAGCCTGTTTTTATATTGTATTGTCTTCTATAGTTAAAAGTTATTTAGTTTTTCATACTAGTTTTATATCTATATCTGTGATCCTCTAGTTATTTTACTGTCTGTCGTTGACAGGGTTTTATAATTTGACTTAAATTATTGCGACTTTGTTTCTCATTCAAATCCTCGTCACGATATGGCTGCAATATTGCCGATGTGACGTTAAATTTGCTTTAAATCGAAGCAAGCCCTCTGGTTGGTTGATGTTTGTTAAGGAGACATTTACAAATGATGCTTTCTTTTGAGAAGTCATTGCGGAAAAAATTCCCGCAAATTTATAAAGAATGTGCAGATTTACCAGCGTTGACCAATCAGAGGGCTTGTTTCGACCACACATCCGCTTTGCGCGGATATATCGTCATCCATTTGTGTCAAGATCGGTTAGTAGCGAGTCAAACTCGGGTTTCAATCGACTTGCAGAAATAACAATAAAGAACTGGTAGGTGTCATGAGTGATTCTCGATAGGCCAACCATCCATGATTATGTTTACATTAAGTTTTAACCTATTGCATGCGATGGTAGCGAGGCGATCGGCAAAGCAGTCGGGTGGGGTGCATCGAAGCGTCCGGCCTTGTCATAATGTATTATACAGTGAAGAATTTCGAGTCGGGGTGTCATCTCAAATTTGTATATGTTTTTTTTAATAATGTTTAATCCTCGCAAAGACACGAGGGCCTGTGGTCTGCTCTAGGTCTGACGTGTCAGGGGCCCCGGGTTTAACTCAACGTTGCCACTCATGATGAATAGAATACCGATAACTAGCAAAAATTCCACTTGCCTTTTCAAAAAGCACCCTGAAAACACTAAACCACACTTGTACTTAGTTTTTTTATTATCAGGCTGTGCATTTATGCCTATACATAAATTTCTAATGGGCATTATTACGGGCATAATGAGAATTTCATAATACCACTTGAACTGTGTTTTAGTTTCAAAACCAACCAAGGATCATAATCAGATAAAATCCGGAATTGAGCACGCTGTCTCAGGCTTCATTTATGATTAAGCTGCGCAGCCCTGCAAGAACTTTCAATGTCCATCTTCATTGTACATACAAACCACTCTATGAATTCCTTTCCCAAACTGTTGACAATGTCTGTGTCCGCTTGAAGTTCACTTATAGCTTCTGACAAAGTGTGAGGAAGAGCATTGGTAAGACACTTTTTATCCGGAGCAGGGCACTCCAGCTTTTTTACAACGCCATCTAGCCCCGCTGCTATGGTGGCCGCCATTGTGATGTAAGGGTTGCTCATACCGCTGGGAATGCGATTTTCTATGTATGTTTCAGACTTCGTAGACTTGACTTTAATGCAAGCAGAACGTTTATCAGTGCTCCAGTAGATGGGTCCAGGAAGATTGGGTTTGTGCAAGCGATCGTAACAGTTGATGGTCGGACAGAAGAGCGCACTCAGAGCCTTCGCATGTTTCATGAGACCAGCCAGCCAGTGTCTTCCTAGGGTGCTAAGACCATGGGGATTGTCAGGATCATGGAAGACATTGACACCACCGGATAAGGACCAAAGTGAATGGTTAAAATGCATTCCTACTGCGCCAGATTCTTGCATGGAGTCAAACCTAACTGTGTAATCTTTCTTATCCCCTATTTCTAGAATTCCGTTCTTTAAGGTAATACAGGAATCAGCACTTTTGATGCCGTACAACGGTTGGAGTACCATCTCATACAACCCAGCATCCCACTCAGAATGGAACGAGCCTATGTCAACACCTGCTTGATGCATACAATCTTCAACATAAAACAGAAAATCACTGTGTTTGCTGACTAATCTTTGACGCATGTAATCAGGTTCAAGAGGATATGCTTTGCCAGTTTGAGTCAGTGTAAATTCAACTTCGTATCCAGAAAAGAGGCTAAATCCCAAATTGGTCAGTTTCTCTAATTGTTGTCTGGCAACATATCGAGGACATGCAAGTTGTGCCGATCTGCTCTTTAACCAGTAACTCTCACAGATAACCTCGGCCACCTTGACATCGTCGTTATCACACCATGATACTTTATACAAGGTGCTGAGGTCAGGTAGTGCGTAGGCTTTAGGCATTCTCTCATCTTTACATTTCCCTGTTGAAGAGACTTCATTCAAAAGTCCAAACGACAAGAAACCTGAAACATATGCAATGGTATCAGCTGCAACCAGTCAAATACTTATTTCTTTCTACTGTGTAAAAATGAACTTTCAATGTAATAGTGAAAACAATAACGACATTGGGAAATCCTAAAAGTACCCTAAGTTGCGATGTACCCTTAAACGCTGCGGGAAGATATTATAAGTTTATACTTTCCACATATCCACATGGAAAACATTTCTACGTTTTTTATATTGTTGACATTAACCTGGATGTCATATTCATGAACTATTCACATGGTAAAAAATATCGTAACACGTATGACTATTTACCCCCAAACGGTTATCTATGTGGTTATCTATATAATAATCATGTTTCTTTGTATGATTATTTTTAGATTTAGATATGCACTTGTCACGATTAAAGGCGAGCATCACGTGCTCTACGTGTATCCGCCATTATGCAAATATCAAGTTTCAGTAAGCTGTTCTTACCGCTCGATAATATGAAATATTCACAGACTATGAAACATTGAAAATAAATCAAAAAGCGCCGCTGCCAATTTCCAGAATGCCTACACCAGACATTACCAAAGATCAAAGTAGTCGATAATGACTTATGTGCAGTATGCCATTCTAACAGAGAAATGGCTTTGTTTCTTGAATATGAATATGTCAAACACTTCAGGATCCGACTAGATCAGTACAAACAAATATAATTTAATACACAGTTAATATTGTTTGGATTCAATGTTAAACAGACTTTAGCGTTTTTTACTTTGGTTGGTTGGTTGAGGAAAGGTTTATCTAACTTCGTATACAAGTACTTAACGAGTTAGTTAGTTATCTAGTTTTCTACTTATTTATCCAGTTGTGTATTTACAGTTCCATTTTTCTATGTATTCATACATAGATTCAACAAGTTAGTCTACATACATACATAACCACTCTACCCTACCACACTACTGTACAACTCTTTAGTTTCCTTACACAACAACAAAGTTCTTTATCTAATAAGGGATCTGATTTTCTACCTGAACAATTTTCCAGTTTCATATTCTGTTCACTATTCAATCTCTTGCTATTAATGAAAACCTCCAGTTGCATAACTGTAATTTACTGTCATGTAAACTGTCTATACAAATGTGATTAAAACTGATGAAAAAGGAAAACATACTAAAATGGCAACAGCCGGTAGGCGACGCAAGCGTTACAGATACTGCCTCGCTCGCTGATAAAAAAATGAATATTTCAATACAAAATAATATCACACTGGTATGACAAGCGCAATCAATAACACTGGCATACATGAATTAAATGGTCCACAGATGTTAATAGTCCTACCTTGAAAGTATTAAAATCAGGAATGAAAACCTACGGACAAATGTGACGTTATTGCGTGTGCACATAACGATGTACACGTTCATGCCGTCCATGTTGGTCAGCAACACTTATCTGTGTTCAAATACGTGGCATGTACATAATAGTATATATGTTGATCCCTACTTTTTTCTTTCTGTATATGATGTGTGAAGCCCATTTCTGGTGTGAAATTGCTGGAATATTGCTAAAAGTGGCGTAAAACCATACTCACTCACTCTTTCTGTATATGAAACATGGAGAATAATTAGTGTTGAATTCGCTCAATGCATATTACATTTTATGCATTCTCTGAAATTCAAAAGGGTGCCACTTTTCTCATCTTCCGCAGTTACTTACATGTGTTTAGTATACAATTTGGTCCTCTATTTTGATCACGATATTGGGTAGTGTAAGGTTACATGCTCTATTATCATTTGTTGTATATAATGTCCCAGTGAGAAGTTAGATATATGTGTGCGGGGTTAGAACATCTAATCATAGGGAATTACATCAGACAGATTGGAATCAGCTTTCTTCATAGCGTTCGCCAGTTCGCATCAGTGTGTTTGTTGGCATGATGATACAGAAATGTGTAAGTTCGGTCTTTCACTGAAAACTGCCATTCGGTCGTAAGTATTTCGCATTGTTTGTTTTATCAGATCGAACATGTCAAAAATTAATTTTGTGTTACCTGCAAAGATGGTGTCACCAGTCTTTAGGTATTTCTCGACATGTCGTGCAGGAACAACTCTTCCTCTTGATCTTCCGTGTATATCAGCCACAGAGAAGCGGACATAGTCGTACTTGTTCATGTCATCAGACATATTCCACGAAGTTGATGTAATTAATGACGTGAAGTTCTCTGACACTTGTTACCTCTCTACTTGTAAGTGACTCATGTATACGCGGAGGAGGTCTAAACACAACGTCAACACGCATGTAATAACATTTTCAAGATTTACTCCACTGCCCACGCAACAAAACGCCGCTTGTTTGTTGAGCGGAAAACAGTAGAAAGGGGCTTCATGTGTTACACACGTGACGACAGAACCATATCGGCACATCGTGAACCTCCAGACACATCACATGGGTTCGTCAGCTTCACATACATACATGGTCCACTCACTATATCACGACGACCTTCAGTCTCTACCAACACAACTACCATTACAGGTATTGCCACTTGACTTGTCTGTCCTAACGACGAAAACATTACCTGCAATGCAAGGCTAAAATAGTTCCAATGTTAAGTGTTGGAAATATTGTGACTGAAATCAGCCCGGCTTTCATTTCACTACTCTTATTCTGAAATTCATATGCGATTATAAGCCCGTTGTGTTAAGACGGCTGCTTGGAAGGAAAAGGCCAATGCTCATTTGGTTGACCTCAATTGCGCAACCACAGGCAAGGGTAACGTGAAACGCTGGACACGGACTGGAGGCTGATTGTGGACTGTCGATGCCTATTATTAGAGAGACAGGCGTTTGAAGACTCACTGGTGTTACACTGAGAGCAGAATGTTTCAAATTGTATTATCACGTTTTTGTTTTGTTGGGGTGCCAACGACCGCAGCTTCCATTCATGTTCATGAAGGAATAAGAACAGATTGTCAGTTTAGTATCTCTACATAGTGGCACAACTAGAGGCGACGCTGCCACGGTATGAGCATCAGAGGTGTTTCAGGTTAGCTGTCGATAGACAGTAAACAGCAATGAATGCACAATGCCACAGCAAGTACAAAGACAGTTAGCTGTTCCTCGTCCTTAATTAGTGGATGATTTCATAATGAAATGATACGGTCCGGAAACAATTCCCAATATCAGCCTACCAAACGTACACTGTACGTCACTTACGGTAAGCATTTCAATGTGACATACATGTACACGTACTTTTTATTTTTTTATGAGTCTCTATGCGATAATAGGCTAATAACTCTCTTCAACAATCACATTTGAAATAATATGTAGTAAACAAGCGTTTGTAAAAAAAATGTAATGCCATTAAGTCATTTTCCTTAATCTTACAATCATGTTTTATAAGTATGAGTTTGTCGTATATTCAATGAAAGCGTTAAAAGTGCAATTCAGCATCCCCTCTGCACTGAAGGTTTGAAGGACGTATATGCTTTACGTAAACATGCCAACGCAATTACTATCTTATTTTATACCCCTGGCCTAATTCTCAGGCTTTTGTTGTTCATGAGGCCAAGAGGCTTTAATAGGATCGCCACAATAGTCTCGGTTAGAAGTGAAATTTGTCTCTAATGTTCAGCAGTTAACAAAAGCGACAAAGTCATTTACATCATGGAAATAGATATCTATCAGATTACACGCTTTCAAAGTCTCGGTAATTAATCACAAACAATGATGACACGGGTGCTGGAGGAAAGGTCGAGGTCACCTAGCCCCACCGATGGGATAGACAACAAACGTAGTTCAAGGCCAAATGCAAGAAAAGTAGCCCATTCTATTCAGATTTGCGTTACAGTTTTCTCATTGAGTTGAATCAGCTAGACTCTGCTTTCTCGCTGCTGCCTGCCGCTCAGCAGACTGTGTTTATGCTGCAACACACAGCATTTGTTAAACCTCTTGTCGCTCTTGTCTACCCCATGTACAGGAGGAGACTAAATATCTCTTACGGGGATTGGGGTGGGTGTGGGTCTGGGTGGTGGTTGTGAGTGTGTGGTTGGGTGTGAGGATAGAAGGGTGAGCGTGTGGGGGTGGGGGTGAGTTTGACGCATGCATGAATGTACTTATGTGTGCAAGAATTGTGATGTATGTGCAATATACACTTTTATTAATCTTAAATGTATTACTGTGATATGTGTCTCATAGGTCAAATGGCCGGATGCTATGTGAAATGTTTAATCGTGTACCACATATTTTTCTTCTTCTTCTTCTTCTTTTTCTTCTTCTTCTTCTTCTTCTTCGTCGTCGTCGTATCTTGTAGAATCTCTCAGTGTTAGCCAATCATTAGTATGACACTTCCCACCCTCCAGGAATCCTGGTCGGTGTGGAACTACCCACGGAAAGAACCAGGTTACTATAAACAAACAAGGTTTACGCCCAACGCTTCGTTCACCCAGCTCACGTCTAGGACACAGCAGACAATGAGGATGTAGGTCACAGACAAGTATCGTGGTTGAGGTTAATTTGATTAAATGCATGAAAATGGTGCAAATTGTAAACTTCATCACTTTACTCAGATAAGTTGTACAGTCGAGAAGAAGATTTACAGTACACAAACAAACAAAGGGGATAGGGTACTCACATTTGTCTGACAAACAGGGAAGTAATTAAGCTGGTGACATAATGGAAACCTGTCCGCTTGCATAACAATGTATTGCTCAACCCGATCCTGATCGGTTATATGAGCTTTATGTCAAAGGCTTCAGCCTTTGTGAATATAAAACAATGTGATCCCAGTATTTAACACAATGGGAAATTCAGTGGTCATCTTGTAATATGAACATATAAAACTGATGATATACATACCCTTGATATCAGGAATGATACGTAAGTTTCTAAAGAATGAAACCATTTGCAAATTTACAAATGTTTCCCCACTTAAGGAAATATTCATATTTTTAACCCTAGTAAACTAATGAAAGATGCAGGATTTTCAGCACCTTTTACAGGAATGTATTGGAAATAATCAATAATCAAGCATTTACTGGGATATCAACTATTGAATTCATGCTTGATAATGTCTGAAAATCCGGATATGAGAATGGTGCAAGTGCTTATGACAATATACCATGAGCATTTGTTTTAAAGGTGCAGTTTCATATGCGAGCAAATACATCGCTTGCAGTTGATTCAGAACGCAGCAGCACGAATTATCCTGCGTGTTCACAAGTACGATCACTTCACTTAAAGAATCTTCACATGTTCCCAGTTTCATCACGGATTTATTTTAAGATTCCTCTATACATCTACACGTGCTACAACAATCTAGCCCCGGCCTACTTGTGTGACCTTCTGAAATCTTGTATAAGCACACCTCCAAGGTCTCTAAGATCCCAAAATATACATCTACTGACTGTTCCATCTGTAAGAACGAGTACCTTTGGAGAAAGGACTTTCCGATTTGCTGCTCCCACACTGTGGAATCAACTTCCAAACCATAATAAACTTGCCCCTAATGTGACAACATTCAAAAGCAGACTCAAACCTCATCTCTTCAGCGATGCCTTCCAATGCCCAAATTGCTAGCGCACAGAGCACAACAGACAGTGAGGTGAGGTGAGGTGAGGTGAGGTGAAATTGGGTTTAACGTCGTGCTTGAGAATATTTCGCTCATATGACGACGTGCATGCGAGTGTATGTTCATGTGCGGCTGCTTGTACTAGCCCAGACTTAACCTGGTTTTATAGTGCTAGATCACTGAGATACCATGCCGCAGTGAAGCATGAATACCCCACTCAGACACATTATACTGACTCCGAGCCGACCAGTGACATAAGTAGTCCCACCATAACCAAACAGCAGCGCACACACACAATGTTCTGCTATCACCATTGAGGAATGCAACGTTCAAAAATGTGGTAACGTTTTTCCCATTAAGATGTTAAACTATTTTACTGAATCGGAAACCCAGTAAACATCGGATACACAGTAAATGCATTATGGCTGACAGGTATGTTCGACAGGTATATGTTACAGTCAGACTGTGAAAACACATGGCGCTACTTCTTTAATAAAATGACTGAATTGTGAGTGTGAGTTTTACATGTCCTGGCTGATACAATTCCGTCAAGTAGCATAATCAAACAATACTCGCGATCGCTAATTACTCCAATTATTTGTTCATTGCTAATGATGCAATGACTGGCCAATTGGCTCATCTGCTGTATTAAAACGTTTATGACACGCCTTAAGGCTAAAGATTATTTTTATCCAAATAAATAGAAATTGAAAATATTTCTTGTGAAAAATAAACTTACATTACTGTTGCTACTGAAGTTCCTAAGTACATCTTGATAGAACTATAATTGATTTGATTTGTTATGAATGATTTCCAAACGATTTCATAATTATTGAAATTTTTGATATGTATTGAAATATTATATTTCTTGAAGCTGAATTTCGAATGACAATTTTTCGTTATATTGTTTTCATGAGTGAGTGAGTGAATATTGCTTAACGCCGCATCATAAATTTTCAGCTATAACGATATATTGTTTTCTTAAACTGACACAAGTGTATTACACTATATATACAAATATAAAAGTTATCATCTAATGAATGAGTATATTCCTTGGGGCCACCGGCCAATTTTACATTTTAATGTTTTACAAGCTGTACATGTACATGCGAGCGCCAGTATACAAATGATTAAGTATTGGACATATGGTCTGTCAATTCATTACCAAAATGTAAGGACGTTGTGTCTTTTCTTTTGGGCTAAGAAGATCAATTTGGCTATGCCTTTTTACAATTAATGGATTAGTTGAAGAAAATAATTGGACACACTTTCTATCTGATGGGTAACTCCAAAAATATTTAGGTAAAATATTTTGCCGAAGTTCGTTATAAAATGGACATATAAACCAAAAATGAAGTTCAGTGTCTACTTCTGGTATAATACAAAAGGGTTATAATACTTTCTTGGAATGTTAAGCTTTCTACCATCTGATATCATAAGGTTATGACCCGAACAACGAAATTGTGATAATGATAATTTATCATCTAATCATTTAACTATTTTAATTCTTAGGATTTATCCTACCATTCTGTGGATCATGTCTAATAAAGAAGATCACTCACCTTCAATGAATGAGATCTAAAAAAATCTAAATAAGCACAATTGTGATCTCCAAGTCAAAGTATGTGACGACAGCTTCTGATGGTAATGAAAC